TTTTTTTTGGGGGGGGGGGGTTTGGCCCCCAATGACACTTTTGGGCGCGTCCCCACCCCCGGCACCGCCTGTCCCGGGGGGTCCCCAACTCGTGGGACCCCCTCCCCGAGCCCAGGGGGTGGCAGGGAAGGGACACCACCCCCACACACCCCACCCCTCCCCAAAATTCGGGACCTCCCCTCCTCCCATCCCCCCCCACCCCGGGAGCGCAGAGAGGCCAAAAATATCCGCGCTGGTGTCACCGCTCGGCGACGGCCCCCAAAAAAGGAACCGGGGGGGGCTTTAGGGGGGTCCCCAAGTGTCGGGCGGGGCGTGACAACGTGGGGGGGGGTCACAAATTGAGGGGAGGGGGGACACAAGCAGGACACTCCCCCCCCCCATGACTGTGTCCCCGTCCCCGTGGCAGTGGCAGAGCCCGGGGTGGGCAAAACCCCGCCCGGGGGAGCCCCCAAGCCCCGGGACCCCCCCGGGGGAGCCCCCCCGAGCCCTGAGCCCCCCCGGGGGAGCCCCCACCTTGGAAGCTGGCGGAGCAATACGCGTCGCTGATGTCCGAGTCGGGCGAGAGCAGGTTCTCGGCGCGGAGGATGAACACGCGGAGCATCCTCCTCCTCCTCCTCCTCCTCCTCTTCCCTCGGCCCAGCCCCCCCCGGCCCGCTGACCCCCCCCCCCCAAATCCCAGGAACCCCCCCGGCCCCGCCCCGGCCCCGCCTCCCTTAAAGGGAACCGGCCCCGGGGCGGGGAGACCCCCCCGGGGGGGGGCGAAGGGGGGATTTGGGGTGAGACCCCCCCGAAATGAGGGCGGGGGAGGGTCCCCTCCTTGGGGACTGCCAGGAAGGGGGTGGGACCCCCCCCGTTCCCAGGGAAGGGGGTGGGACCCCCCAGTAAGGGTGGGGGAGGGTCCCCCCCCCTTGGGGACCCCACGAAGGGGGGGTGGGACCCCCTGTAACAAGGACGGGCGCGTGTCCCCCCTTTGGGAGCCCCCCATTGTCCCCGGGGGGGATTTGGGGGTCCCCACCCCCTCATTGTGACCTGGGGGGATGAATTTGGGGGCCCCCACTCCCCCATTGTGACCTGAGGGGGGATTTGGGGGTCCCCACCCCCCCATTGTGACCTGAGGGGGGATTTGGGGGTCCCCACCCCCTCATTGTCCCC